GTATCCGCCAACCACATTTACTTCACTCCAACATGCTGCCCATGTCGGTTTGAGCACGCCTGCGGCTGATTAACATACACAGCACCTACCCTCCTTATCCCAACCTGTCTTATCGTGTGGTATCATCACCTTTCATACGGCAATGTTATTCTATTCTAATGCACCTCACTGCGTCGCACGGCAGAAAACTGTATCGTACGATAACACAACACCCCACATGGCGCGCTGCATGTTGAGATGCACCGAGTGCACGGTAAAGAAGCGGCGTGGACAAAGAGGAGGGGAAATGCGGGCTCAGCCGGCATTTGAACCTGGGACCTCGCGCACTCAAAGCGCAAATCACACCCTCAGACCACTGAGCCATGGCATGGCCAATCCTCTCTCCTTATTCTTCATGGTCGTGATTGCTACCGGCTGGGGTTAAGGGACGTTTGCCTTTGCCACATTAGTTCAGACAATTCCTCCCTTTGCCATCAGCATATAGACGATACAAAAGAAAGGAGGAATATTGGCCTCATGAGTGTGTGCTTTAGATATGCACCAGTCATGGTGAAATTTGCGCAGAAGCTTCTTGAGAGGAATAAATTTTGCATATAAAGCCTTGAAGTAGTGGTGGGTTACTTGTGACTACAAATTCTTGTCATTCTTTGATCTCCACTGTTGTCAAGATAAGTCTATATGAGTAGAAAGTTGACGTGGCCGCCTCTCGTTGTCCTGCTTTATGCATCCAACCTAAAGAAATGAGTTAGTTTGGAGGTATTCTGAGCAGAGGTAATTAGGCCTCATTGCAAAAGGAAGAAGAACAGAAGAGAAGGAGTGTGTGCAGAGTGAGATGCCTATAATGCGTCCTAAACAAAGGAGAAATGGCGACAACATGAAAAGAATCATTGTCAATTTCCAGCTTGTTCTTATCTTCCACAATTTGATGCTTTTTGCCGTGAATTAGACAATTCCTCTGACACATTCAGCGTCCCACCTTATGAACAAATTCTTCATTTTACTAACCAAATCATCTAGAATGCCTATTTGGATGTCGCTGATTGCCATACAAATGGAGGCCACAAGTCAGGAATTAACCGTTAACAATGCACATCAAGGACCTCCAAGTTATTCTCCTCCGCTCTTCTTACTAGTGTTATTAAAACAAGCCGTGAAAACTTAACCAACGAAGATGCGCATCGAACGAATTGTAGTGGGTAGTGACACATGTGTGTTCCAACACTGCTCAAGCCAAATAGACACAGATAAAATCAAATAATAACTAAGTTTCATAAAATGCCTACTAGAAGTAAAGTACTCTAATGAATTATGCAAATACGGAGAACAATTAAGAAGCAAACATTGAGTGCCAAATCAAAAACTACAAATGAGTCCAAGTCATTTAAATTGCCTCCTTAAGCCAACTCTGTGACAATGGTAATGAAGCTGTCAAAACCGGCAAAGTGACAGAGTCGAGTAACAACTGATGGGGTGAACTTGCAGGCGGTGAGGTAGAGGTAGGCGTTGACCATGGTTGCGGGCACCATGCGAGCGAGGACGCTGATGGCGCCCACAATGGTGGAGGAGATGATGCAGAGGAAGACGACGATCACACAGGCGATCAAGTTGTTCTGCATCCCTAAAACACCCGCAAATATGCATCATGTCAACGCAGTCGCAGATTGTACTTCCCAAAAGAGCCACTTAGGTGTTCCTCAGTGATAGTCAGCCTTAAAAATAGGCATTAAGACTTACCCTAATAAGTATGCTCATGGGATTAATGCTTCATTTGTAGTGAAATTAGAATGACGTTTCAAAAGTGATGACTTCTAAGCTACTTTCTTCTTAAAGAGTATTTGTTCTGTGTTTTCTCACAGAA